CAAAACTATGACTTTTTTAACATAAATAATTTCTCCAGTGATTTTCAGATCAAGCATTTCTCTGGAGAAATGCATTGAGGACTAAGTCGAAGACCTTTGACAATTGTTAGATCCAAACAATATCTTAATTCCCGAAAGCATAGTCACAGAATCAGATGACGAAAGAGATTAAAAAGCTGCGGATGATTACCGTACGTGAACACAGGCTCGCGCCTGCGCTCTCCTGCTCAAAAATTAATGGAAAATTAATGAGAGGGTTGAAAAATAAATAAACCCCGTTCTGGCTTGCTGGTATATCGGATGATAGTGTCCTTGGCTGAGAGATTATCCTCAAAATTTGATATTTGCCCTCGAAGCTTCGCTTCTCGGCTAAATGTTCATTTTTTCGAACAGTCTCTCAGCCGCGGACATTATCAGCCGACATACCAGCCGCCCGAAGGGGTTTATTTACTAAATACCACAGGGATTTTTAAAATGAAGAATTCGATGAGGGACGGTGAACGGTGTACAATTATGATCAATTCTGGAAAGAAAATACATAAATGTTTCATATTTCGCGCACCTTGCACTCTCGTACTATCCTGGTATCTATTTTATTCGTGAGCTTTTGTACTTAAAAGATATTGGTGCGGAAAAAAAAAAAAAAGATTGGAATAGTTTTCAGAATCTGCACCCGGAAATATTGTAATCGTTGCAGATGTAAGGTAGTAAATATCGTTTTTGTTCAATCAATTAATTAATTGATTATATAAGTGCGATGACCGGTTGCTACGTAAATTCCTCCCGTTACTATCTTAGAGGTCACGTGACGACGCGTTCGTGGCTTGAGCAGATTTAAACACTAAGGCGCGCTATAAATAGTTTGGCTCCGCCCCTTGATTTCAGCTCAAATAAAAGAAGCATCCAATGTTGCGACCAACGGTCGGACCATAAGTGAAACGGTGTGCATGGAAGACCCAGCAAAAGTATTATTTTGGATCAAAAATTAGAAGATAGTGATGAGTCTTGTTGACTCTCATTCCCATAATTTAGCTTCTATGGATTTTATTTGGCACCAAAACATTGTTCGGCCATTCAAAGTGCGATCTACGGTCGACTATGCAGTCGTACAGTTTTCTTTTCAAAACTCGCGCCGTGTAAATTCGGCTTACATCCCCAAGCCCCTTATACACATCGGTTGGCTGAGCCTTCAGATTATTCTTATTGAAACTAGCGGCGTCATAGATACTGCATGCGCAATATTATCGTTAACGATGCCTCTAAGTAAGTGCGATTATCAGCCAGAATTTCATAACTCTAGTGGTTGTTTCTTAGCTGTCTCTGCTCCAAAAATATTTATTGTGGAATTTGTGCGTTATGGCGGACGGAAATAACCCATAACCCAAGAAAAAGCGTCCAACAGATCGAGGTATTCAGTTTTCTTTCAATAGAGAGCTTCCTCGAGGTCAAGAGAGCAGGCCTCTTGGCATCAAAGACAGCGTCAAAATGGCAAAAGGCCCGTTAAATCTAACAAAAGCGACCTGAAGTACACATTGTGTGGATCTGATGGAGGCTCTTCTGTTAGCCTTTAAGGAGAAAATGGAGAGGAAAGGACTGACATCCAGCCAACTGAGCTTATCATCAACTGGAAGCACAGCTAGTTCGGACCCCTCTCTTGTTTCGACACCATCTACCACACGGTTTTCTTTTCCTTCACAGTCTTCCACTATATCTGCGCGTATTTCTTTGCCTTTCTCTGATCCTGTTTCTCTAATTTCCCTTCCACATGCAGAACATACACCACAAAGAATGCAGATCACTGCGCCTTCAGCAGAGAACGACCCCATATAATTTATCTCTGCAGCGGGGGAGCTTTCGGAACTCTGTATTCTTTTTTTTGTAGCACTCTCTCCACCGCATGCTGTTATTATGGAAAACTTGACGTTTGCGATGTACAAATCTTTAATCGACAAAGTCATTTTGTGTCCGTAACAGTTTCATGTGTATGTGGAGATTCATTCAAGTGGCTCTCCTCCTCTATCATGGGAGGATCTCCTCCAAAGTACTATGTAAATTTGAGGTAAGTACCTTTTCGTTTTCAGCATGAAATTTTCTTAAATTCGCCCTCTCAATATTCTTGAGTTTTGTTGTAACTGGTCACTTATCTGCCTCTCTTTTTCACAGATTGATTCGTGGAGCATTGTTTTGTGGCGTCATAGAGACACAGTACACAAGTTTCTCTGAAGCAGCCAACATTGCGTGAGAGGGAGAAAAAACCTTTAACGCAGGTTAGCAATGTGCTTTCTCTAATGCTCCTAAAATCATGTTGTATTTCTTCTTGCAAGCAAATGGCTGTCAACAACAAGCCAAATGATGATCTCTCCACCAAAATACCTCAAATGGACTGAACAGTTTCTTATTTGGTTTCTCCCTTACCTGAGTTCTAAAATAACTTTTTTTTTAAATACTTCAACAGTCTTGAAAAAGCATTGTTATGCAACCATTGTGAATAGGGTTTGCAATGAGTCCATGTCTGCTGCCCAGGAAGAAGTGAAAAGCACCCCTTGTTATGTTGTAAATGGAGAGGTACAGGTTGATTTCAATTTTATTTTGTCTTTGGCCACATACTTATACACCAGTCTTAGAGTATGGGAGGTGCATGCATGAGTTTTGTTCAATTATTCCTTTTTGCAAGCCAGGATCTCTGCAAGCAGTCCGTTTGATGCATGAGATCTTGTAGACCTCTGCAAAGTTCTGCTGACTAGCACATCTAAGCATAGTACAATACCTAATATCAAATTGTAAACCCTGAGAAATTTGTGAGTACAGAAAGGGGTTCAATGTTATGTTTTGATTTCTACAATTTCTTCCTGTAGTATGTTATTACAGATGCAACGCATGATTTGAGTAGATCAGCGGCACACACGACGGTGTCAGTCCTTTCTTTCTCGTAAGATGCTTTTGAACTCTTTGTATGATATGTTGAACCTAGATACACTCAATGCTATTCCTAAAAATATTTTTATTTTTACTGCTTCTGATTAGAACCAAAAAAGTTTTAGGAGTCGTAAACTGGAGTAGGGCTAGTGAAACTTCAGCAGTGAGCCGTGAAGTCCCTATGACAAAAGAGCTGCTGACTTTCTAACAGATAACCAAGATATGATACATTAATGTTGCATCCTCGATAATATCCTACCATTGATGTAATATGAGTATGGAGGGCAGAAAATTCCTTTATAGTGTGACTAACGTAATTCTTTTTTTTTTTTTGTTTATTTATTTTTTACGTGTACTTCTGCATGAAGAACAGTCCACTCAGTGAGCAAGAATTTCAGGCTAACCTGCTGATTGTTGCTGACCATTATCAGGTAATTTGAATGACTGTTTATTGAGAGAATGCGTAGCAGTCATAAAGTACAAAGAGTTTTTCTCAGGTTACTCCTTCAAAAGAACGATTTCATGAAACCAAAATTATTTTATTGTTATTAATTTTTGTTATTATGAACACATTGTGTTATGTAATTCCAACAACACATAGCATAATTCATGAACTCAAAGATTACACAATTTTTTTGTAAAATTGGAAAACCAGAAGCATTATACTTATTATTATTGATACTGATCTATTAATTTGTTTTTCCCTAATTTTCTTTATTTATGACTCAGGGAAATCGTGTCAATTGCCATTAAGAGTCATGGTGCAAGTAGAATGGCTACCTAATGAGCAAAAGGTTTTAATTAAACCTGAAGCTGTAGCTGCATATAGGAAAGCCATTATGGGCACCTCAAGATATAGACATGCATATGATTACATGCGGGTAATTAATTGGCACATGCTACTGTATGTTTTTGTTTCTTTGCGTGAAAAAGTTTGCCTTTCCCAAATTAGTGATGTTCCAGTAAAGGCCTTGAAAGAGTTGCAAAAAACTCATGTTCCAGTTACAGAAAAAGCCACTCAAAATCTGTTAACTTCTGCAGTGTAGGAAAACGTACTGGACTGAATCTCTCCATTCAGTCATGCTCATTTATGCTGCTAAGTGGATCCATTATGGGGATGACACCTACAACATGTACATGGAACTAGTCATTCTTGACTGGGTAAAAGACTTATGCTGTTGTTAACTCTGCACAATTGCTTTGGCACTTTTCGAATGCTATGCTTACTCTTTCTTATTGACTTATTTCTCTTGCAGAGTGAAAACGTGAATAGAGAAGTGTAATGTCTCTGGAGATGTACTAACATGCCAGGCATCCGAATCGTCCAGCAGAGATCAGGGTGCTTACTGCAAAAACATTCAAATTCAGGGAATTAAACCATCTGGTCTACCTTTTTTAATCTAAATAACTGATGTCCATTCTGCTTACCAGTGATTCTGACTTCTTGCGATAACTTTAAATGGGAGCCCAAATGTCTTGTAAAAGATGTGAGGTAACCAGCAAAGAATAAATACAGCAACTGCTGGTACTAAGTAGTGAAACTTTCATGAGTATTAGGTATTACTCAAGGGATTTTCCATGCAGTTTTATTGATGTTTCCACCTCTTAATTTTCTTTTGACTGTATATGTTTCATGAACTTATTCAATTGTTATTTATAATTGCTCTCTTTTACATGGGCATTTGTATGAGAATCTGCTTATTTCCTTTTATGCCCCATGTAAGGAATGCCTGGAGGGTTAGGAAACCTTGACCTCACATCTTTTATAACACAACTGGGCATCTTTTCCCGCACTTCATTAGCTTAGTCTCCAAGTTTCACTTTTCTGACCTGGTAAACAGGGTCTTTCCAGAGCTCACACTTCTTTAGAGATCTCTAATAAGTCTTACAATCTTTACAACATCGCACGTGATTTTCTATGTGCGCGTCTCTATACTAAAGAGTTTTTTTGTAGTCGCTTATTTCACGTAGGATAAAGCTTCCCAACCTTTTTTTTTTAATATTGAGTGACAATGGCCTTTTACATCCATGGCAGAAGAAAGAAAAATCAGGCTTTTCGACTGACTGCTCCATGAAACGACTCGTCTAAGATAAGTATGCGATTAGATGGGGCATGGGATTTTTTGGCTGCGAATGCAAGCTACGAAACGTTTGACCACTTTCATAGATGGCTGCTGGATTAATATTCTTTTGTTTAAATTTAGATTAGCCTTTCTGGCCTCGCTTCAGGTAATGTACTATTCTTTTGAATTTTGTACTGGAGAATAAGGCCAGAAAGGCTAATTTAAATTTAAACAAAATAATATTAATCTAACAGCCATTAATGAAAGTGGTCTATGAGGGGCCAATTTCTTCAGGGAATTTCTGAGAGAGCCATTAATGATTATCAATATTCAGAAGATGTACTGAAACAGTCCGTGCCACTTAAATATATAAATCTTGTGTGTAAAACTCAAAGTTAATTTTTTTTAATACAGAAAAAGAAGTCTGGTTGCTACATAATGTTAAATGTCTTGGAGTTGACTTAAGGTTAACCATGCTCAGTTTCTCAGATGATAATGTTGACAAGTTTGTTAAAAGTTTAGACATTGGTCCTGTCACACAGATCCCAGGGGCATCAGGTGTTTCTCGCACAGTCACTGGCCTGGTGTTTATGATTATTGATTTGCACACAAGAGTTCCCCATCTTCCTTGTAAACTTGTCTGGTTCAATGAAAATGAAAATCATTTAATATTTCAGTTGTCAGATGATGGAGCTCCAGAAACAAATGAGCTGACAATGTCAATTGGAAGTATGGTGTGCTGGAACTTTGGTGATCAGGTGTAAGTGTAAAAGTGAAAGATCAAATAATGCATAACCTCTGGAAGCAGCTCACTGAAGAGATGAAAATGTTTGAAGGTAATGTTTTGACTGTTTGTGATAAAGGGTGCACTATTGAATTTCAGCCAGGAGCAGGCATGTCCTGACAGAGCTAGGCTGCCAATGAACTCAACCGGGCAGCTACATATCCTTCCCCAAATGCAAATGTTCATAAAGGAAACATGAACACTATGGGGGGGTAGTTTTAGAATGGGTAAAGATGATACCTGGAAACCTTACACTAATGAAATGAGAACCTCTAATACTGAAAAGGTAAACAATTTTCTTGCCTCTCTTCCCCCAAACCTTTCAGAAAAAGATTGAAATTCCAGAAAGTTACAGTTCACGGCTGAAAATGGCATCCGCCAGTTTGGTCTTCCTAGGATTGGGCATTTTCCAGACAGGTTAAGGCCAGAACCCATGCATTGTAAGATCAATGCCTGGCAACATTATATTGATCTCCTGTACTTAGAGGCAGTGGAAAGAGGAAAGTTTGATCCTTTTGTTTCTGCTCTGGGAGCACCTATAGGGAATAGAGACTCTTTTGAGGGTTTCTGGTACAGACAGTGTTGGGGAGCGTGCTAGGAAGCAGGGGATGTTGCAGAAATCAGAGGTGGACCTAAAGCAATACCTGCAGAAGAGAAGTTTTCCTCATGTAAGGCATACATCAGGTAGGGGGGGGG